CATTTCACCGAATAGTACTTGGGAAAGCGATCGTAAGGCGCAGCTTGTTCTGCAGCTTTAGTTACTCATGAGGGCTACGGAACTTCTTGTAAGTCAAAGTGGCTGCATTGGTCTTGATAGTTATCCCAACGTTCACCGTTCGCTTAAGCACTGAAACCATATCGTAATGTCTAATCGGTACATTCCAGTCCTGTATCTAGCAAAAGTGGACACCACTGTGGGAAGCGGATGCTCGATTTCTGGAGCGGCTGTGTTCAGACTGCCAAACATTCCAACAAAAGCTCGTCGCGTACTTACTGGATTAGATGGGCGCATCGTCTTTTACTACAGAGATATTTTGCTTGCCGTAAGCTACTCATGAGTAGTATAGTGACCATTAGTGGACCTTCCCCCCCAAACGCCAAAACAAAGATTGACGGCCTCGATTTAGACAAATAATGGTATAACTTGGACACGTCGGAAGTAGGTGAAGTCGATATACGAGTTAAAGTTGTCTTTGGCAATTTTGTTGTAGATCTCATGTCGCGTCAAGGTCGTTCTAAGTTAAATATCTTCATCCATACGCGATTCGTCGCATTTGCTCACATCCAGGGCTCCATGCAACGAGCAATGAAGGTAGCCAATACGATACAGAATAACTTTCCTTCAAAACGAACTATGCTTGATCCCGTTCTGATCCGACTACTCAAGTGATGACTGTATCTCATTTCCAACTGACAAAATATTACCCTGTCAGTATGTCGCGTTGGAAAAGTGCAATGAAATACCCTTTACTTCTAATAGTTCGCAAAGCGGTTCACAGTTTATGAACTACTTAAATAAGTTTGTAACAGCTATGTTGAACTAGTTCGTTTGCTCCAATAATGTTTTTCCGAGAGACCTCACATTTTGGTTGATTATGCTTGCCTGGCACTCATGTAGTGAAACGGTTGGGACGTCATTAACGCATAACCCTGTACAACACAAGGCGTACTTGCGTTAGACGTTGACAAAGACAAGACGAAAATATGCCAAGTACTAGTAGCTAGAAGGCTGACTACAAAAAATGGAAGTCGCTTGCTTGAGAGAGATAGCGATTCACAGTCCTGGAAGCGGTGCTGCATTCAACGTGTAAAATAAATACGGGAGAGGCTAAGTCCATGGAAGCGTTTTAAGTTCACCTGATGTGCTTGTCTCCCTTTAATTTTGAGCTCAGAGAGATGTGTGTCAGAACTGAATGCGGCCAGTTCCCCAACAACCATGGGTTCCAACAGTAAGCCTCACTGTTTCATTTCTTCGGGTTAGCACTAAAATGGAGCGAAGTCACTCATTGTCTCTTTTCAAACGATGTCGTCCTGTGGCTGTCTGAAATCACGGTGGCGGACGAGGATATGGATATAGACGCCTTTCTGTGCGGCTGCGCAGGACACGGCATTGTGTTACTGTGTCATCGTTTCCACTGGCTTGGCTCGTGGCCTGCAGAGGAGCAGGGCGGTGGCCACGGTAACCTTAGCCCGCGTGCAGCCGGTGGTGGTCGTGCAGCAACAAGCGTTGGTACTGCGTACCAGCGTAAGGTCGATAACTTCCTATCTAGATTGGGCCGCTTTTGCGTAACTGGGCTTAGCTTTGTTGAGCTGCACTGTCTTCTTTAAGAAGCTTATGTTGCGTTAATCTTTCGTCGACCACTGAACACATTCAGGTAGCAAACTGTGGTTTCCTTATTCATTTCCGAGCCCCTGGACCATTGGCTCCTTGGCTTACTTCACTGAGTAGTGGATAGCGAGATGGAGAGAGTCTTGATCAGCAGAAAAGCTACCGGTGCGTACGTATTAGTTCCTATTATGCCACTCATTCAGCCGAGTATGAGAGTAAGTGCGTCAGTAGAGATTAGTCCGCTCCAGCCGTTTTCTTCGCCCAGAGACTCGTCAACGTTATCTAAGATCAGGATCGATACACGCAAGCATCTACTGACGCATATGAAATGCAGGAAGATTGTGACCGACGCGGTTGACAAAGATTTTCCCATAAGCCGCTACTCTCTGATTAGGTGATAGGTAGTGCGACCCAGTTAACTCTGTAGACTCCGTTTGAACTTACGGTTAGTAAATTAGCCCAACTACACTGAATGAGAAGTTCCTTCTCTACAAATCCTGGTGCTCTGCTTCACCTAGACAAGACCTCGGCCTGTTAAGCCTGTCTTGTTTGCTCGCTGAGGTGGCAGCGCTAATTGACCTTCGAAGCGGTGGAGCCTTTCGCCGGTGGGTGCAGCGCAAGCGCTTATTACTGAGAGAGACAACGGTGAAACAGTCCACGAAAGTAAGCATTAACAGCTACGCAATGCCCATGGCTTCCCTTACGCTATGATGAAGGCCTAAGAAAGTTTGGAAACTTAATCTGACGGAAATGGGCAAATAGAACCATCATCGTTGTAACTGAGAAAGGGGTTCGCAATCTTTCCCGACGAAAGAGGAAATCCAGGTAAAATAAAGTCATTAGTTTGTGCTGGTTCTGTTGCTGCGATTTGTGCACACCGCTCATCCCTATTACCCCCTGAATGGTTTATCGTGATCCCTGAATTGGTGCCATTGTAGTTGGGTCGGCCATTAGACCGGTGCTGAGAAGACGACCACACTTATTACTTAAGGGGAAGTAAAAGTCGACACAAGGTCTCATTACATGAACTTGGGGAAGGAGCATTGCAGCACTCACAAAACCAAATGGTCAGCTGATGGATGACATTATTATCAGTACATGCCGTCATACTCGGCATCGTTCGGCTGTGCCTGTGGAACAGTCTGCGACGCACAGTCAATCGTTGCCTATTTTTGCTACCTACTCTCAGCCTATGACTGTATGACCATGCATTGTCAGCATAACGTTAGTAGACTCAACAATTGATGGATCTCAAGGATTGCGCTCTGGCTACCGACTAATGACCCGAAGCGAGTCGCGGAAACTCGAACGAGACCGAAACCTCGCCACCAGATCTATCCCCAGTTGATGAAGGTTAACAGTACGAAGACCGGTGCTAGAGACCGGGACACCATCCTCTCCCCTATCGTAGTGTGCGAGTCGAGCACATCACAACACACTGTATTCTGCGTCTTACTGACATTTCCATGTTTAGGCGGCTTTCATACCTGCAAGCATCTTGCAGCATACACAGACAACAGTATAATTTTGTGGAGGCGGATCTGAAACGAGTACCTCACCCACTGCATTTCGAACGATGAGTGGTCAATGCTTGGAACGTTTTGCCATTGCTTATAATAAAAAAGTTTAGTGCGGCAGTTCAAAACGCTGTTTAATTTACGTTTTCATGATGATAGCTTCCGAGAACGATATCTTACTAACATTGACATTTCACATTTGAGTCCAAAATTACTATCACATCTAATTAATTCTACCATATCACGAGGAGACTTAAAAATGATCACAGCACTGACAAGTCACAAGTATTCTATCACTTTTAACCTTTTTTATCAGACTACGATGTTTTACGTGTGTCAGTTTCTACTTGCTCCTATAGGTCAGTATCTCGTAGTCGGTACTTTCAACTCATGTTTTAGCCAGGATGCTTCTATCGCACACTCGAAAGCGTGTTAGCTTGTTGGACAGCACATACCAGGTACAGAACATTGGCTATCACTGGACGACTTTTAATTTTACTGGACTCCGAGGAATGCGCTTTCACTTAGCTCTGACTGGAGTTTAAAACTTTGATTAAAACCTAAACATCTAGGCTACACTAGCTTACCGTGAGGGCCATGAGAAATTACGCATTTATACTCCAGCTCGTTTCGTCGTTAGTTGAATTCCGCGGCAGGACGGTGTGAAGAAATATGTCTCCCTGAATCTGAGTTGTCAACTCGGCGAAGGGACTGTAAGCAGGTGGAATAAGCAGCTAGATGTATGGCCGCACAGTGATTATTGACGGATACAGCGATTGACAACTCCATGTGATGCGTTATCAAGTCAGTTGACCTATAAGCGTAACAGTGCTTTGTTATCATCCTAAGGTTACAAATTGAGTAAAGGTTCAGTTTTCGGCAAACACGACGCCAGTGTGCCTATAATATACTCCAAAAGACAATCAGTTTCTGGTTAGTAGAACTGGAGCACAGTTATGTAGCCAGTGATATGCCAAAAGATTGGCTCTCATAGAAAGGATTATAGACGTGTTCGGTTGCGCAAATATGTTTCTCTAGAATTCCAAGAGAATGAGGAACCTCATAAGCATCATTTACAGTCCTATTACCTCTAGTCTCCTAGGGATATGGAGTGTACAAAGTAAACTGTGGATAGTTAATTGCAGTAGTCCAGTGGTCGTTGGTTGTGGGCGAATTTGTTCCTCGTCTGTTCGCAGTTACAGTGGCCTGCGACTCGATCAGAGGATGTCTAACAGTGTGTTGTATACGGTTGTCACCATGAGTGACGGACTGCCTGCTCAAGCACACGGGGATAAAACTAATTTGAATGGTGTTTATTTTGAAATTGAAGAGGATAGAAGGTGTATATTACCCGTGGTACCAAGAGACTGCTCACTCAGGGACGGATCATGTCGAGAAGGGAAAGTGCCATTCCGCTCCTTTAAATGTCCAAACATTCAGCGCGTTGTCTAACCTCAATCATGGTACCGAGAAGTGAATCGCGTACTGTTCGAGTGTATATTAACTAGGGAAACTAGTGGAGCGTTGATGCTTAATATCTTAAAACCAACAACAAAGTAAGGAGAGAGCAATTGAAGAAAACAACAAAAGTGCCACCAGCAAACAAAATGGTGGGACCAAGCAGTGTGTGTGTAGAAATGGTTCACTGTTGCTGAATAAACGGATTTGATAGCACATGCTCAAGATGGTTTTACAGTAGCAAATGGTTCACACCTATGGAAACGCGTTCGTTTGACGACTTGTATTGTAATGATTGCTTTTAAGTCTGGTTTACGAAAACGCAGCGGCTAACAGTAAACAATGATCTTGAAGTATTCCAGTATCCTAAACGCTAATTTGATCGAGACTTACCTTGACTAAGCGAAGTCGCCCGTTGCTTGTTCGTGCGGTAATGAGTAGGTGATTTGTGAACAAGAACACTTGTCTAATTGCCTCCTTACGTTCTCGAGATGAAGCTCCGAAAGTGCCCAGTCGGCTCCTGGACGACCGGGGTTTGTCGCAAATAACCTGGATCAATGTTCCTGTAAGTCAGCAGCAAGGGAGATTGAGAGGATTGGTGGTTACGAAATGGGCTCTTGGATTATAACTAAATTAACTTTTGTGATCTCAAAGGTAGTATGGAAAGTGGACATGGTTCTCATAAGCTTATTTCCAATTGGTCAGATGATTTCTAGGAAGATATGGCGCAGGTTTAATAATGAATGCTGCATTGTGCTGTTTGAACACCTGGAGATGCAACGCATGCCAAAAGTTGATGATAATAGTTCGCTTTTTAATTTACGAAATGTAGAAAGCTTGTCAAATCTAGCTGAACGGCAGTGAACTAAAATATATGCCCGCGGTATCGTGTCTAGATTTTGAAGGCATAGTGGCCGACACATCGCGACAAGTTTACTGTCACCTCAACGAATGAAACTTATGATAAAATCTAGGTTCTAGGGGAGATGTGCCTTCATAAGACTGATCACCTGAACGATTTACAACCATTATTTAATGATTTAATCAGAGTTCTAGGCGTGCTCTGTAGTTGAGGCTCTCATTGTATTGCAAGCTTGGGGACTTTGGCTTGACGAAATTGTAGCCACAGACAGAAAACACGCATACGACCAACTCAATGGGGCCGGTTCTCAGATGGGCAAAGAAGGCAAAGTTGAATTCTAGGCGATGGTATCTCTTCTGCAACGCCAACTTCTGTCTAATATGGAAAGAACGAAACAGATTACACAGCGGAGTACAGCAGGACGATTAGTTAGGCATGACATTTTGCTAGAAGATACTTTTTACCGGCAAACCAAACCCTGGAGTGTCAGCTGTACGCCCTAACGGCGTTTCACTGCCGTGCGACCACCATCAGCCGCCCGTGGGCTGAGTATACCGCGAGGACGCTCACCCCTACGCGGATTCGAACCCGCGCCGCAAGGTTACGAGACGACATCGTTATCACTAGGTTATGGGTCGACAAGTAAACCTTGACAGAATACATGCTCAGTAGCATGGTTTTTGGTCATGTTTATAGTTCGCTTTGTTAATACTTTTAGACCATAGTGGGCGAAGTAGAAATGGTTTTGCTCAGTGGTAGATGAACCATGAAAAGACGTAATTCCTCAAGTCGCCTGTCACATTAACGCTGAGATTGGGCATAATAAGTTTAGCTGGATTTTATGTCTCTATATTGGTTATTAGAGTAGTGTACAAGATGTGAGCCGGTGAATTCTCTTGTATCGTACAGCACGGCTGTGTTATGGCTTGCCACCATTCAGCAACATGGTCGCAGCACGTTTTCAGGCGGTGTGACACTTGTGCACGGTCTTCAGACATGGTACGCGATGTCAGAACTCGATTCATTTGAGTGTGAAACCATCAGATGAAACGAACCTTACTACTCACCTTGACGAACAAACACTTGATTGACGTCTAGCAACAGGTCACACCCGTCCACGATCATGCGCTCAATGGCTAAATTTTTCCGTATATTTTCTGTCTCGCTGACCTCATCATGCATAATCTAAAGACAGAAAGGAAAGGACATATTTTCAGTTATGATAATAAACCGAGAGACGTGTTACTTTAAAGACAATCTGTTGTAATAACGAGCGGGAAAGTTAGAATCTAACCAGTTGCAATCCTTATGTGGACTATAGGTCTCCATGACAACCCTAGCTGACAAAATTTCTGATACTTTTTCCATTACGAACTCGTGACACCTGAGACGTACAACTTTCATGAATCTTTGTCATAAGCTTGTCTACGTTGACAAAAACACCACGCAACATTCGTCCCGCCTTCGCGCATGTTATTTCCTCAAGTAGTATCCTTAGTTGCTAAGTTCGGAAATGAGATGAAATTCCAAGGACCGAAGAGCTGCGTGTATTCATTCTTGCTCATTCATTTTATTACCTAAAGCAACGACAATGGATGGCCCACTGACGCTACATCTCCTTTGATGACCAAACACATTTCGCCCACATTTCACTTTGTCATTAGTTCAATTAAAACTTAATGGACGCATTGTCTAAAGCAGTGTTACCAGGAATTGACACCGGAGCCACAGGATTTATATGTCCTTAGTTCATCACCTCTTTATGTAGTACCGTTCCTCCGAATGCTCCCTAAACCGACGGCCACATACAATTTGGGTCCCGTAAATACTTGGCACCATTCATGAGCTCTACTAATTTGCTATTTGACGCCATCTTTCTTGGTCGCAATCTACGGTTTTGCATTTCTTAACACTTTCCCATGGCAGTAAAGTCTGGATAAGCATTGTTATTCTTCGTTTTCCTTGTTGTAGTCTGTGTGTTGCGCATACGACACGTATTTAGGTACTCGTATCAAAGACATCATCAGAAAATTTGTCGCAAGATTGTCATGCAAACCTGTCGCGAAGTGTCTTTCTTCCGTCCATTTCTACAAAACAAATATCTGCTGATGTACATTAAGCTAATGCTTCCCAACGCTACGGTCATTTACTCTACTATAAAATGACTTTGTCGATAACCTTCCAAAAGCCGATGCTTCAGTGAATATAATACAGCCAAAGTTGTTTCTTTCATTAATCATGTGATTATAGCTCTATCAATTATATAGTTTTCCTTTCTCCAACAACTGTGGCATCTCCCTAGTTGTGGTGGACAGCGTAACCGTAATGCAACGTAACCTCCGTAGCTGAAAGAGAAGCGTAAACATGCGTAGGCAATACAACTTCCTTGGCCAAAGAAGTTGCAGATCTTGGGAACTTTAAATAAGTTACGCATTTTCTGTCACGCAATGAAAAAGCAAAGCTTTTGAATTACAGCTATGCGCAAATATTCTATCCTGGAAAGGAAAGGAGTCCCTTCTGACTGAGAAGTATACCTATACATTTACCTGTAATATATTTAAAGGGATCGATACAGCTAACAAGATCACTATAATAGTTGAATAATGGGTAACTGTCTGGTGACCTGGTTAAGGTCATACATCCGTATAAAATTACCAAGGTAGCTTGTACACTACTTGGGGCTTACAGTGAATTTATTTGCGTTTCACCAGACCGGTACAAATGGTGATGAGTATGATGCCATAATGGTATCATTTAAATGGTCATATGAAAACAACACCAACTTTTCATACATGAAAATATGGCGCATTGATTTCTACACTGTCTACTTTCTACAGGTGCACACTCTTATACTATGAACTGAGCTACTGTCTGGATATAGATGGCCGATGCCAAGTGATGGTTGGACATAATACTGCAGGGGACGAAGACCCCGGTAGCACTCAATGCGCACACATCTGTTTCGGGAATATACTCGAAACGAAGAGGAATACTTAGTTGATGTCTTCCGATTCCGCAAGGTTCCTTCGTTAAAAGCGATAGAAACTATTTTCCAGAAAATTGTGCATATTGTGCTTTGTGCAGAGATTTTTGCTAAATTCCTTGCTTTTGACTTGGGAGACGTGCTCGCTTTTAGTGAACATTTCAATTATGGGTACGTGTATATAACTATAAAATAAAGATAACTCATCCAGTCGGGCTTGATTAGAGACAAACTTTGAATATCTGCATTCAAACTTTACTTATTGGTTAGACTTTGCCCAATATACAACAACCTTTTGTGGACATTTCGTCTCGATGTGAAGTAGTTACTCATTAAAAGTGTGAATTAGTTGTTTAAGGGAACGGATATAGTTCCATCTTGAGATTCACTCGTCCGTAATCACCCGAAGTTCTGCCTATGTTTCACAACTACTTAATGGTCCACCTGGATACACAAAGTTAGCGGCTTCGCTTTAATCAAACTAATTATCTGACTTCAGGCACTCCGTGTAACTAATTTATCTAACTAATTAACTAATTTATCAAGGGGTTCACAAACTCTGGCCTGCAACGTCAATCCATCCGGCCCGCCGGTTTTATCCGAACTTGCTTGCTAAAGCGGGTGGAATACACTATCTTGATATCAATTACATTTGACATTGCACGTCGTATTGTCACTGTTATTACACTGTTCGTATACTACTGTGTGCCAGCTCATGGTTGTCACATCTGAAACGGCACCGTTGGAACACTGCTGTGTATCCGTTTATTTCACAACTATGTGTCGTAATATTCGGTCGGTCAGTTCCCTTTACCGACAAATCACGTAAAAAGTCGAGTATTATGACGCCTTAGTTTGTACGCCGATCAGTTGGAAGCCATGGTTGCTAGAAGCTTGTAACGAATTGCACATTTTTGACGCGAAATTATGCTGAAAAGATAAATTGTACAGGCTAGTGCATCATTTTCTTCTTAATGACAGGTGAATATTATTCTTATCCATAACTGGCGCTATTTGTTTATTTGACTCCGATGGAAATGCTTCGCTCGAGTATTTCACGCGCTTTGCTCTTTATATATATATATATATATATATATATATATATATATATATATATATATAGCGAGGCCACTCGGGACCACTACATAAGCGACGAAGAGTCCTGCAGAGAAGTATTCAAAACCGGCGCAGCGTCTGTAGATAAGCTGCATTCTTTTTACTAACCGCGTGCTTGCATGCTAAATCTCTTTATTGCAGGTGGTAAGTTTTCAATTTTGCCTTACTGCTTTTCTTTATCATATAAATGTCTACCTGTACTCTATTCCATTAACTTGCACACCTCGCTTAAGCCAATTTTATTCGATTTCCATAACATTTTTGTGTTCGTGGCATTTCCGTATAGTATACTTTCTCACCTCGTGAACTTATCTAGGATTTCTTTTGTAAACAACTTATTTCATATGCTCAATAACTTAAGGTTTATGTCACTGTTTCCTTATGCATCAATCGAGTTATTTTCTTTGGATCTCTCTCTCTCTCTCAAGTGATTGGCTGTTGTTTGATATCCCCGATGTGGCTGCGCTTGATGTGCATGTTGACAAGGTGCCTACCTGTCTATTACCCACTACCTCGTCTACCTGGTTCCAGGAGACAGTTGGTCGTTGCTGGAGGGGACGGGGTGCACGGTCCTTATGGCCGTGTTAGGATCAAAGAGTGGTTCCATGCACTCAGTGTGGAGCGGACTACGGTCCAGCCACTGCCTTATGTGTACTTGATTCCCCAAATACAGCGTGCTTGTGTTTGCCTGTGAACGAGTGTGGGCCGGCTCCGTTGATGAAACGTGGCTCCCATCCACATGCCTTCCGGTCTTATTCCTTCGGGTTTACACTGGATATGGGAGGTGTGGTTGGAGCTGTGGGTGGTGCAGCGCAGGCCATCCATGGTCCCTCTGTAGGCGCAGGCGTCTTGTGGCTGGCCACAGTGACAGGCAAATCCAAAACCGGATGCCGCTAACCACATATGGCAAGCATTGTGATTTTAACGAAGGTGTCTATGAACTCTTTCGTTATTCTTATTTACTACATGGACCATCATCCCCCTATATTTCTGGTGTTTTAGTAATATTTTTATGGAGTTTGCAATTAGCTATGTTTTTCTTGTCCAGATCCCTCTCAGTTCACACTTCATTTTGGCTACCATGAAAAGAAAAGTAGATATCCATTGTCGCGTTTCCCTTTTATTTTCGGAGGTTCCATTTGCCTTGCAAGTATTAGGTAGAATAATTATGCGACCCCAGCTGGTCATTTTGTCAATTATCGGACCCGTCATGCAAATGGTGTTGTGATCCCTGACCAAAGTCAATATTCATTGAACAACGGCAAGTATCGGTACACAATTGCATGTCTGGCCTATAGAGGTGGATGTAGGTCAGGAGGTACTTTGAGCATGCATGCGTTATAGTGAATCCATATCTGCGTCTCTCCGAATAAGTTGCAATTTACTTACAACACTTTTAGCTACTCAAGAGGAAAGCTGCATAGCAGAACTGTGCTTGACAATCTCTAACTATATTTGACCCGGAGTAAGGCAATGTCATAAATTCTTAAGAGAGTATGCCAACGGACACACCACTTTTGGCGGACAAAGTTGATACCCCACCCAACAGGTTAAACAAATTCTCTTGACATGATTAATATTTAAGAGTTTAAAATTATGCCGGTGTACCTGTTTAGCTCAGTTCGGTTGGTATCTAGTGAAAGCGGTTCATCAGCTTCAAAATCATTAACGTTAACATTTGCAAAGTACGACTTCGTTCATGTTACACCACCCGGTGTACTCAATTTTATTTGGGGGGAACCTAATGCTGGTAACCTAGTATGCAAGCTTCTGTGACTAAATTGAGATCCAGTGGTATTAAACCATTACTTGGTGAGACAAAGTTTAGGTCATTTGGTATACCGGCCTGTGGTCTATGCGCGATTTATTATTGGTTGGCCGATAATCCGATTGGGGGTGGCGGTGTACGACTTCAATAATTTTGGTTAATCTCAGTAACTTACAAGCCACATAGCCTTAACACAGATCCGGAGAAGACCCAGACGTCCGTTTCGCTCTGTTAGGGCTGGCTTGTCTAACAACCTCCTCGTAGTGCCAGCGGGGTGGTTCGGGTTTTTCCCGTTCCAGCAAATGGTTCGGAGGCAGT